TTAAAAACACTATTGTTCTTTTGCTACATAGACTCACTGTTTATTGGTGAACGGGGGGGTCTGCCCTCTCTCTCTCTCTCTCTCTCTCTCTCTCTCTTTTTCACACACACCGCACGGGGACGGGGAGTAGGGTAACTTCAACTTCAAAAAGGATATTGGAAGTAAGAGCTTGGCTTGTGCATGGTTTCCGATCTCGGATTTGTGCCTTGCTTGATTTGCACGGAAAATGTACCCCCCCCCCCCCCTTTCCACGGGTGTCACAGTTGGTAAAGTCACTCGTCTCGCTCTACTTTGAAGATTAAATCTGATCAGAATGAGCACTCTGGTTCAAGAAATGTTAGTGTTCCTTACTTCAAGAAATTTCTTTAAAGGGACCTTCCCTGATCATTGAGCCTTAGGGAAGGCGGGGGCGGGGAAGGCCCGCACCGCACCGCACCCGCACCAACTATACCGCCACATCGTCGCCCCAAAATTGATGAAATAAGTAACGAAATATCTTTTTTGCGGAGACTTTTCTCGCGCCGAATGATGTATCTTAATTATCAAATCATGCACTCTACAATCGAATGTTCGAAGCTTTTATTTTTCTTGATTCAAATAGTTGGTAACACCGTAACACTGAAGGAAGACGAAGAAGTAGAAGTAAGTAGACAAGAAGGCTGTGGAGTTCGGAAATCATAACAAAACTCGTTTTTAACATAATTTTAACCTTTTACATCTTTTAAAACTATTTTACGCATGTCTGTAGTTTCCCCAGTTTTATTTTGAACCTTACTGTTACCAAAAAATATAATTTAAAATGGCGGGAGGTCTTTCTGTAAGTGGTATTCTTAATATTATCCTGCTATTGTGGTTATGTCAGTAGAGCAACTTTGCAAATGTTTGTTTATTCTCTCTGTTGGACTTGAAATATTTTTACGCCACCTATCCTCTTAAAATTTGTTATCATGCGTGATTGTTTCAATCTTCTTAGTGACAAAATAATGTCTTATTTCCTAAATATTTTGTTTTGTGGTTACAGCAAGAAGAAATTGCCAAGCAATTTGATCTTCCTGAACGTAAATCCAAAATTGCTACGTTAATCAAACAGGATAGACAGTACTGTGTTTGTCGGTCCACTGACTCTAATAGGTTTATGATGTAAGCATTGGTTTTTGGTCCCGTAGTTTTCTTTCAGATTAAACTGTTACTGCACTTGAATTTCTTTCTTTTATCTTAGAGGCTGTGACAACTGTGAAGAATGGTACCATGGTGACTGTATAGGAATCACTGAAAAAGATGCCAAGTACATTGAGCAATATTATTGTGTTGTAAGTTTTTTTCATGACTACATTTTCATTATACTTTTTCAATATCTAATCCTTGTTGTCTATAAACAGAGGTGTAAAGAAGATGACCCTGACTTGATCACTAGATTCAAGCCTAGAAAAATAGAAAAGCCAGAGAAAGATAGAGACCGTTACAAAGAAAGAGAGAGGGAAAGGGAAAGAGAGAGAGAAAGAGAGAGGGACAGAGACTATGTTGCAAAACACCAGCGAGAAAGAGATTCAGTGTATATTCCCTCAAATTCATACCATGAAGAAAAAGAGAAAAAGCCCAAGAAGCGACGAGACCAATACACAGCACCAAGTAATAATACCCAAGTATTCTTTTCTATTTTTCAGTGTTTATGACGCTGTAGATCAGCAATCTTTATTTAGGTCTTTTTTTTTTTTGTTTTCCACAGAAGAGCCATCAAAACCTAAAAGCTTCAAATGTGGCAGTTGCATGGGATGCTTTAGAGTTGATGATTGTGGTAGATGTTCTATGTGTCGAGATATGCGAAAGTATGGTGGACCTGGTCGCCACAAGGGTAAATGTCTTGCCAGAGTCTGCACAAGTGTGGTATGTTTTAAATTTTTTTGTGCAATTAAGAGTCTCATGTTATACCATTTATAACTGTAAGTATCACAAGCCTGTATTCATTACAATTCTAGTCAAATCACCGGACAAAGCCAACTGCTGCCCATGAAAAGAGACGCAAACGTAAGGATTCTTCATCTGATGGAGAGAAAATTCCTGTTGTTCCTGAAGGACCCCGTCAATGCTATGGACCTCAGTGCATAAAACATTCAAGACAGGGGTCTAAGTATTGCTCTGATGAATGTGGTTTGAAATTGGCTGCTAATAGAATTTACCAGGTAATAATTTACCACATTTTCATTTTAGTGCATGTTATCATTTTCATGCAGTGTTGTTAATAGCATTGAACTAAAATTAAAGTTAACTTAATTTCCACATGTTCAGATTTTGCCACAAAGAATTCAAGAATGGGCTTTAGCTCCATGTGAAGCAGAAAGTCAAAATAAGAAAGACCTTGATAAAGTGAGGAAGGATCAGCAGGAATGTAGAACAATTTTAGATCAGCTGGAGAAGCGCCATAAGGTAAGACTTTGAAAAACTCAGTTGCTACATGTTTAGTGCAAGCAGCAGTAATTCTTTTTTTTTCTTTGCTGTTAGTAACCCTTGCAGCTGAAGCCTTATTTTATTTTACAAAAGAAAAGTACTAATAATGAAGTGTGCACTTATCCTAGGAACTTGATGCTGCAATAGAGCGAGCAGAAAGAGCTTCCGTAGACGAGCATTATGATGATGATCTGGAAGAGGAAAGTGAACAGTCAATGTATTGTATTACTTGTGGTCATGAGATACATTCTCGTACTGCCATACGACATATGGAAAAATGTTTTAATAAGGTTAGTTCCTTTTGGCAGTATACTAAATTTCACTATTTCTAAAATTTTGTTGATGGTCTTAATCTTATTTTGTGTTTTTAGTACGAAAGTCAATCTTCATTTGGTTCCATTTACAAAACTCACATAGAAGGAAACAATATGTTCTGTGATAATTATAATCCAACATCTGGAATGTATTGTAAAAGGCTTCGGGTTCTTTGCCCTGAGCACAGTAAAGATCCCAAAATTGGTGACCATGAGGTGAGTGGCTACTTATTAAGATTTCTACCAATTGTTGTCTGTATATAATGGAACAGTTAAAAATATGTACATATTTATGTATACTCTTTCTTTCTCTATTAGGTGTGTGGATGCCCACTAGTCACAAATGTATTCGACCTGACAGGAGAATTCTGTAGAGCCCCAAAAAAGCATTGTGTTAAACATTTTTGCTGGGAAAAGTTGAGGAGAGCTGAGATTGACATGGAGCGAGTGCGACAGGTGAGTCCATACCAAATAGTTGAATTTTACTAATCTCAGAAATGCAGAATTTTGTTTAACCTGGTGCTTTTGCTTTTAAAATCAGTACATGAGAGCTGATGAGTTAATGGAGCAAGAACGTCAGTTACGACACAAACTGGCCAATAGAGCCGGAGTTCTTGCCCTCATGTTGCACTCCACTTACAATCATGAATTAATGGAACAAATGAGTGCCCAGCAACAAGCTCAAGAACAAGCTCAGCAGCATAAGAAAATTGAAAATGGACATGGTCAAAAAGAATCACAGTCAATTGATACTAAAGTTGATGAAGATGAAGATGGAAGAATGTCTGAGTAAAAAATTGACTACTTACTAGTTAAGACATTTTCACTACAAATTTATGCTTAAGTAGATTTTTTAAAAAAGTTGTGTGTACATATAGACGTTTTGAAAGAAATATATGCAAAATACATTAAGCATAAAATATGTTAAGTTTTTTGTTTTACCCATCTCTCACAATGTGCAATGGAGTGTCATACTTGGCAGGGGTTTGGGTAAATTAATTTATGATTGGTATACCTTTTTATTTAACATGCCAGAAGTAATACATTTTGGTAGCTAAAATATCACTTGATAACAAAAATAGAAACGGTGTAACAGTCAGTATCCTAGGTGCAAAACGCGACAGGTCAACAACACAACATGGTAGATGAAAGGTTGATGAAAGATGGGATTAGAAATATGATGAATCACTTGATCTAGTTTGGTAAGATGCACAAACAAACAAAAAAGATGACATTGGGCAGTGCTCTTTTAGTGAGCCCCATCTCTTTCAGTAAGAATTAGTAAAGAAATTGAAAAACAAAAACAAAACAAGAATCGTGAAAAGAAAAAAAGAAATGACATGTGTGACATAAGTCAGCTGGCAAACTCTGCTGCTATCACAATCTGAAGAGTTGTGCGAACGCGACGAAAAGTCAATCAGTCTCAGTCTCGAGTCGGGAGAGCTCTGCTGGCCGAGGGTGACAGGAAAAGGGTGAAGGGTGCCGTTGTCGTGCCTTGGTGTGCGTAGAAGCGTTGGGGGGAAGCCTCCCTGAAGCCCGCAGGGCCGCAGGGCGGGGCCCGGGGAAGGGTCCCGCCCCTCTTTGGTTGCCTCGCCGATGTGCCTCGGCTGCCCTCGGTCCAATGGCGCCCAGCGCCGGCTGACGGACGGCTGGCGGGGCGGGCTGGGCTAGTCGATGGTGAGCTGCCGGAAGGAGCCCTCCATACCGAACAGGTCGTCGTGGGTCTTGGGCTTGCCGGGCCGCTTGGACTCGTCGGCCTTCACGTTCTCCTGCTCGGCGAACCACTCCTTGTAGCTCTCCATCTTCTTCTGCCACTCCTCTGCAAAAGTAACGCAAAGCGAAGCCCGTCAGAAGCACGCCGGCGAGTAGTGCTGCGATACACAAGGGAACTCCCAGCGTGGACCCCAAAGCAGCCGCCGATCGCGAGGCGGGGCGCTCACCGCTTACGCACTCTCACGCTTGCACCGCTTTCTCCTCGGCGCGGTGGGGCCGGCGGCGGCGCTCTCCTGGAGCCTGCGGAGCGTGCGCCTACCGCTGGAGCAGCACGAGGAGCCGAAATAGTTTCGACTGCAAATAAGCGCGCGCTGCAGCCACACCGGCGCCAGCGTCGCGGCGCGCCCGGTAGCGCGGGGGTCTCCCTCCGGCGGGCCGTGGAGTGAGTACCTCACTTTTACATGAGATGCCTCTGACCGATACGAGTCGCGGGGCAGGGCGAGGCGGGGCGGGCGGTCAGCGCGTGCCGGAGGGGCGGGCGGGGCAACTAGAGCGAGTCTAATTGAAGTTGGGCCGGCCCAGCAGCACGGCGGCTAGCGAGGGGTACCGCGGGGCAGCCCCGCTAGCCCCGCTAGCCCCGCCGTGCGCGCACATTTCGAAAGCCACAACGGAGCGCGCACGATGCGGAGTCGTACGAGCATCATCACGGCACGGCATGCTTCCGCGCGAGGCCCGACGAGCCACACGCGTGCGCAGACTACCCTGCCGAAAGGTTTTATTCTTTTGATTCCAGTGACTTTTGCAAGTCGCTCTTAGTGCTCTTACCGTTGATTTTGGCGATGGGTCCGGCGCCGCCACCGTACTCCGACGGTAGCATCTCCTTGGGGATGTACTTGTAGAGGGACTCGTAGCCGTCGGCGTGGACGTGGATCTGGCGACAACAAGAGGCGGGTGTGTTAGTCGATGGCGTGCTGTACAGTATTTATTGAGGAGGGTGGGCGGCGAATCGCTACTCACCCTGTTGCGGATCTTTTCCTTGATGAAGGGCTTCACAAAGTTGATGATGGTGTCGACGAGCGGCGAGGCGTTGACGACGTGCACCTCCTTGACCTTGACTGGGTAGCCCTCCTGGACGCAAACGAAGAACTTCTTGACGAGGGCGGGCGTGAACTTGGAGAAGTGCTGGGCGAAGTTGGTGGGCGTGGCGATGGACGCGTCGAGCACGTAGACGTCGCCGGCGACGCCTGTGGACTCCTCCTTGAGACGGATGTCCCCGATCATCATGACCACCTTCATGCCGTTGTGCACCTGCGGCAGCTCGATGCCGTCGGCGCTGTCCACGGCCGCACGGAACACGCAGACACGACGGCCGTTGGGGGTGAGGCCGGGCAGGGGCGGCAGGTAGCTGAGGACCAACAAGGAGAGGGACTTGAGCACGATGCGGGTGAGGACACGACACGAAGGGAAAGCCACGGGTCGGGTACTTACGCGAGCTTCATGACCTCCTTGATCTCGTGCGAGGTCGGGTCACGGTTGGAGAAGAACTCGGGCGCGGCGGTGCGCATGGTGAAGTACATATCCAGCTTCCTCTTGCACTTCTCACGGGAGAACTTGCAGCCCCGGAGGAAGGTCATGATGCGGCCGTCGTCTGTGGCGGAGGAAACAGACACATTGGTTTAGTTTCGCAAATACGACGGAATACACTGGACGGAAGCGCGCTGTTCGGGCGGGGACCTCACCGTCAAACTTGGGCAGGTGGGGCTGGCGGCCCAGCCACTCCTTGATGTGCTGCAGGTCGTCGTCGCGGGTGCTCACGTCCTCGTTGAGCTCGGAGCGGATGTGGATCTGCATGTCGGGGTTGGGCTGCACAAGCGTCATCTTGGGGCTGTTGTGGCTGAACCTGCACAGAGACAGAGCGGGGTGCGGTCAGTACGTTGGGCGGGGCGAGCAAACCGCGACCGGGATGGGGTAACGAAATCCACTTGGCGCATAGGCGACGAAACGCGCGGTAGCCACTGTGGCGTGAGCGTACGCACACACGCACCCTGTGGTCGTGACACTGGGGGACTCTGGGGCAGCGGGGCGGGGCGCGGTGCGTGGCGGTGGTGCTGGCCGCAATCCTGCTGCTGCTGCTGCTGCTGCTGCTGCTGCTGCTTGCGCCCGGAGCGCACGAGCTGGCCTGCCTGGCCGGGTTTGCGTAACGTGTGACTCAATGGCCGCACGGCCAGCTAGCTGTCCCTCCGCTCCTCCTTCTCCCCCCCTCTCTCTCTCTCTCTCTTACTCACACTCGCTCCTCTCCAGCTCCAGCAAGCCCAGCATGCTCCTCACCCCATCTCCCACCTGGCTGAGCGGCCCACTTTCTCTCTCCTCCTCCTTCTCCTCCTCCTTCTCCTCCTCCTTCTCCTCCTCCTCCTCCTCCTTCTCGTCCTCCTTCTCGTCCTCCATGGACAGCAGTAAGCCTCCTGATCTGGACCTGATCCGTCCACCTCACCGGCCCTTCAGCTGCGTGGCCCCAAATGTGACAGGGCCGAGCTGGGCGCGATCAGGACTAGATCCCCGTCAATGTCACTGCCACGCCGCGGCCGGGCCGCCAGGAGGCCCCAGCCGCGGCAGCGGGGCCCTCGTGTGACTGCCGCCCAAAAGGAGAGTCTAGTGCGGTTTAGACGGTCCCGCGGCGACGCCCCCTTCCCCCTCCCCGACCTAGGGCAAGGCTACGGTGGGGCGTCTTCACCGCAAGTATGGACTGGCCCCCTCCTGGACCCGCGGACCCGGACCTGCTGGAACACCATTAGGCTTATCCACCCCGCCTTGCGCGCCAGCAGCCAAAGCCAAGCGGAAGCGGCGAACAGCATGTATACTGTGAAGAGTGGGACCGCTGCGAAAGAGAAACCGGAGCGAGAGGGGGAGAGAGATGGAAACAGAAGGCGGTTAATTGACGATTGAACAGGCTCGTGGCGGGGCACCCCTAAGCGTCGGCTCGCCGCTGATTACCCATTCATAGGGGACATTTCGACGCCACGGCTCGTCATTGCTCGCGCGTTTTGATTTCCACTTTGCTCCGCTGCTGCTGCTGGGCGCCCCCGGGTCTACCCCCGGGCTGCTCCTGCCCCGGGACTCCCCTTCACTCGGCTCCGGTGCAGCTCTAATGGCCGGATGCAGACTCGTGGGGTGCAAATAGTCGAGCAGCGCCGAGGCAAGCCGAGGCGGGGAGAAGCTCGGCACCGCGACTTGCAGAATGGCTCGGAACCATCGTCGCGCCTTTTTACGCGGTCCTTGCACCGCTCTCGCGGCTGCTCGGCTCCGGCTGCAGTTATACTGCACTGGGCGGGCCCAGGCGTGTACCGCCGGGCCGCACTTACTGGCCACATTTACCGGGCCTGCACTTTCCCTGCTGCCGCCCGAGCCGCGAGCCGAACGGCGTGGTATATAACGTATCCTCGGGAGACAATGAAAGTGACGCAAGTGGTTTATGCCAGGCGGTCGCGCCGGTGCCGGCCCATAACACCGACTGCCGTGGCGGTCGCCGCCACGAAGGACCCCATCTCCCTGGCGGCACTCGGCCGTGCCCGGCGCTCGGTGCAATGTGATGTTGCTGCTAAACGCAAGTTGGGGGTACATGAGACTATGCTGGACTGAGACTAGAAAACATGAGACTGGACATGAGACCGGACATTGTCAGAGGGGTACCAGGTTCGTAATCTCATGTCTCAGGCCGGAAGTCCCCAGACAGGTTCAGTCGTATGTTTTCTAGGCTCGGTCCATGTACATGTACCCCCAACCTACACGAACGCACCCTCGTACCCATCGACGACGAGATTCCGGGCAGACAAAATAATAATTTGAAAAGACCCAAGTTTGGTCGTAGCAGGTGGTACGTATTTATACCTAACCCAGTCGCTGCTTACGATTGGCCTTATAGGCCGCCGTGAGCCGGACCTATCGTTGCGCCGCGTCCACGTCACGTGCACGTCACGGGGAACAACGGCCGACGTACAACGAGGCACATCACACTGATGATTCCAGGAGGCGCGCTACAGGAGAAGGGAAGGGGAGGGCAGACGGCGGCGCGGCGGCGCGGCAGACGTGGCCCAGTCAGTCCAGCGGGGCGGGGCGGGGCGCTGCCCAGCGCTGCCTGACCACAAGAGCCGGTGCGCATGACGCAAGGAGTGTCGGACTGGTCCTGCCGCCCGCCCCGCGCCCATGCAGGCGGAGGCCGGGCTCGGCCGACGTGGCCGACGACGGACTCGTTTTGACACCATATTCTTATTGCTTCGGTTTAATTTCGAGTGTGGCTGGGCGCGGCGCGGGGTTGGCCCGGCGGCCTATAGAGGCACCTGTCACTGGCCCCCCGCTGCCGACGGCCGCCTCGCGGAGACGGTGGAAAATGGCGGCAACCGGTGTGTGGGCATTTCATTTGGGCACCGCGAGCAGACAAGGAGACATCAGCAGCAGCAACCCCCATCATCAAACCGCCATCCAACGCGTTGCCCATTGCCCAT